AAAGAGGACTGGATTAAAAAAATGTGGTACATATACACGATGGAATACTATGCAGTCATAAAAAAGAACAAAATCATGAATGTCACAGCAACCTGGATGGAACTAGAGTCTATAATACTGAGTGACCTCTCACAGAAACAAAGATCTGAGTATCACATGTTCTTACTCATATAGTGGACCTTTAACATCCAACATAATACTATAAGAAAATGACTGATAGTGATGGGAAAGTATGGGGGGGAGAGGAAGGGAGATGGGATTAATGACAGTAAATATCTGCCTGGGAATGGGGAGACACCTCTTATCAACAAGAGTGCCTAAATGAAGCATATTTGTATATCTAACCCTTAACTGTACCCCACAATATCATAATAAAAAATATTGATTAAAAAAAAAGAAATAGTTAAATAAGTTGAAAATAATTGCTGAAAGGAAATGAAACGTGAGGTCAGAGCAGGGCACTGCTATAAGCCTGTATTTTTACTGGCTTTCTGAAATAAGTACCACATAGGTACTACTTTAAAAAAACTAAAAATACATATAAAAAGGAAATAAATGATGTGAAAGATAAATACTAATAGCTATATTAGGTTAAGAGAAACAAATTATAACCCAAGTTCTCATTACTTTTGCCTACCTTAACTGTCATATGATTCTGATAACTATACCTTTTATACACTCTGCATAACACAACCACATTAATTTTCATAAAGTTCTAATTCCTTTATTTCTGAATAAAAACAATTGAAGCTTAGGATATCCAAACTAAATCTAATCCATAATCAGCGATAAATAGGGAGAAAGTGTCAACTTTCCATCTAATTGCAATTTGTTTTTATATGTGCTTAAAGATATTAGAAATATGGAGTTCTAATTTTATCCATTGAAAGTATAAAATAGATCAAGAGGCAAGCCACTTTTAATTTACTGCAGTGTTCTAATAGCAGGTCCTATCATTTTTATCCTATGCTCATTTCTAGGCACGGAAACAGTCTTTCCCATCAAATTTTGTTGTGTTTTGACTTTTTTCTTGTATACTGTCACCCAGATAACATTCCTACATCACTAATTTTTTGTTGTTTTTTTTTTGAGTCAGGATCTCACTATGTTGCCCAGGCTGGAGTGCAATGGTATGACCATGGCTTACCACAGCCTTCAACCCCTGGACACAAGTGATCCTCCTGCATCAGCCTCCCAAGTAGCTGGGACTACAGGCATGCACTACCATTCTCAACTTATTTTTAAACTTTCTGTAGAGATGAAGTCTCACTATATTGCCCAGGCTAGTCTTGAACTCCTGAGCACAAGCGATCTTCCTGCCTCTGCCTCCCAAAGTGCTGTGGTTACAGGCATGTGCCACCATGCTGGGACCTACATCATTAGTTCAATACTGATATTCCCATACTCCTGGAGTTCAATCAACTCTGAGAAACTTAAAATACAGATAACTAGACATTTTTTAACCTTTATACTCAGTTATCTCATAAGCCCTAGCTTGTAACTGATGATTGTAACCCTGCTACCACCATGTACAGGAAAAAGCCATAGCTTCAGTGATTAAAAAGGAGAAAAATTAAACTAAATTAACAAAATTTTAAACATGAAAAAAGGGCAAAAGGAGATACACATACTGGCAAAATTCAGTTCTTTCTAACTCTGTACTAGATAAACTCATCCTCATTTCCACTAATCCCTTACAATCGTCCCCCTAGTCTACTCAGACCATGCTTTTAATTTTACCTCACAAACATGACATACTATTTTTACTCTCCAAACATTTTCTTATGTTTTCTCATTTTTTATAAATCTTAAGAATATACAGATCTTACAGGAAAAACACTTTAGTGTCAAGTTCTTTTTAATAAGAAAAGGAGAAAGAAAGCCTTCTCAATCTTGTTATTTCTTCTATAGCCCTCCTCTGTAAGGTATTCTCTGTCTGGTTTACTCATGTACTAAATAAATGTTTCACATGCAATTTAACATTTCAATACTATTTCGTGTGACTATACCCTGTATTTCTAATTCTAACCTAATTTCCTCCGTATTTACTTTGAAGATTTGCAGGTAAATATTTAAAAAGAACCAAAAACATTATGAAAACTCTATCCAAATAGAGCTCTACATCAATGAATTCATAACTCATTGACAGAAAGAATAAGACACAAATATTTCTTTCTCTTCATAGATTAATAATTTTAAGTCACAGACACCAAAGCGTGGAAACAAATATAAGACAATATATGTTTCCAAACTCCAATTACTCTGATATATAGAATGCTAGTTGAGAGATGGCAGGATCAATGTAGGCTGGAAATATTAGAGATGATTTATTGGAAACTGAGCTGAAAGTTAAATAACTGCTAGAACTTAAATAGGTAAGAACATTCATAATTAAAGGCAGAGATATGAAGAGTTCCAAAATTCTGGAGCCATTAAAGATATGTATTCCAATACTGTCATTTCTGAAGTTTAATACCAATTTAATAGCATGAACCCAAATATATCATAAAGGTACTCAGAGGAAAAAGGAATCTATACAAAACTTAAAACAGTTTTGGGTGACATCTGGTAAGAGGTAAGGAAAAGGAATCATGTAAAAGATATTTCATAATGAAAGAAGAAATAATAAATAGGAACTAAGGAGAAATCAGAATCTTTTAGAGAGGAGCAAAGAAAAAAGACATTTCCAAGAAGGGTTAAATGAATCTAAAATAGCATAAAGAGCTTCCTGTTTTTGTATGGTCTAATTAAAAATCTCTCTCTCCACTTTGCAAACATGAAGAGGAAGAAACCAAGAAAGAAAATACATCTTCAATGAAACTAAAAGACAGCTAAACTCCATCTCTAGAATACAAAGAAAAAACCGAGGAGAGGCTGGATCAGGCAGGAAAGAAATCATGTATGAGTGGTTTCTGTTCCTTATCTCAGACAGAAAGCACAAGGAACAGAATTTTCTAAAACAAAGGCACATCCTTTGGGCAGAATGAATCCATCATTTTATGCAACAATGGGATCCAGATGAGTTGAGACTGGTAGCAGAAACATTATGGACGTCATCTGGTACTGAAAAATGGTAAGGAAAGCAGGGGCTGAACAAGGAGAGGCAAATAACTAGTATTCTTATATAAGGAGAATGGAAGATACACTGAGTTTTAGAGGAAGTATGCAAATGATAATTTCCCTTTGACTTGGAAGAATAAAAGGGTAAACCAACTGTCAACACAAAACCCTATAGGATAAAGGAGGTCAGTGTGAAGTACAGAGGCTTCCTACAAGCTCAGTATATTTTTTTTGACAATCTCCAACACTACCTTTTTGTAAACAGTGGGTACAGCAGGAAATGCCGTCACTCAAAGATGAACAATGATAACTGTAAAGGAAACCAGCATTAAATCTACACAATGATGCTTCAAAAAGCAAAAAACATTAACTTACAAATTAAAAGAAAAACTGATACTAACTGAACAATAACAAGACATGACCTCATAAAGCTCTAAAGTTTCAAAGAAAACAAAAACCTAGACCATCATCTAAATCCCCCAGGGAACTGTCTACAACCACCTTTGGGGAAAAAAGTTTGGCTCAAGAATTTTATACACAGCCAACTAATAAGCACATGTAAAGATGTTTTCTATATGCAAAACTTCAGGGACTCCACTTTATAAGCTCATGAGAACAGGGATCTTGTTTTAACATAATGTTATATGCCCCTGCCTAGAATATTTTATCTTTATTGTTACTACTCTAAATGTGGTTTTCTTTCTCTATTACCTTTTAACCTGGTTATATATAAAGTATATACGGAAACTTTTGATTTTTATTTGTTAATTTAGTATCTTACCACCTCACTAGAGTCTCTATTTGGTGTACTTTCTCAGTTGGTTCTACAAGGTTTCCAGGGATACAAGCTCATCGTCTGTAAAGAAAGTTTTACAGTTTTCTTTCCAATTCTTATAGTACTGATTTTTTTGGTCTTGTTAAATACTTAGGAGTAAACTTAACAAGAAACGTACATAGCTACAAAGGGAAAACTTGGAAAGTTCCATTTTGGAAGGACACAAAAGTAGATATGGAGATCCAACAAAGACAGAGTATAAATTTACATTAAAAACCTTGACATTATAAAGATGTCAAATCTCTGAAAGTTAATTTATATGTCCAGCACAATTACAATAAAAATTACAACAGTTTTTTTCTCTGGAAATAGTTAAGTCCAAAATTCATATGCTAAAGTAATTAATAACATCCAGGATAACTCTGAAAAAGTGTATACAACTAAAGAGAAGAAGGGGAAATTTCAAGGACAAGAGAGAGACTTACATTTCAATGTATCTTTTGGACTATTTATGTTTTTTAACCAACTATACATATACCATATTTTCCAAAAATTAAAGAAATAGAAGATGGGAATAAGCAGGAGGGATATATCAAGGGACTTTTAAGCCAGAAACTTTTACATTTCTAAGCCACGAGATTGAGAAGTTCAATGCAAAGTAAAACTACTGTTAACCAATCACAAGTCTAAAGCTTTTTAAAATGGAAAATAAATGAAAAGGAATCTAAGTGGGAAACTAACATGTTCTTAAACTACGACACAACCACAAAATAATGAATGTCTAAGAAAATAAAAACCATGGACATAAAGGAAAGAGAGGGTCCAAGCATCAAAGAAAGGGGCAATAATCCTGAAAGTAAGGTTGCAAATGAATTAGGGAAGGTTTGCATCCTGAAATCAGATAGAATCTCTATCTGATTTTAAATATCTGAATTTTAAAAAAATTTTTAAATTTTGCCTTTAAAATTTGAAAAAGGAAAATATCTCCAATATAGGAAGAATACTATCCAGAAATATAATAAGGGTACAAGGCATTCCCTATCATTTGTCACTCTAAAAGACGAGGGCCTTCAAGTAAATCTTGGAAAATGTGAAACAGTATCAACCCTTCACTGAACAATTGTTATACGGCTTTCTCAGTCAGGGCTGCTTTTTACTTATTCACCTGGACAGGGCCTCCCAAACACTTCCTCCATCACCCATGGCTCCTCTTCTTGCTCCAACTTAAATATCACATCCGGTTTGGTGATTTGACAGCCTATTATGAGAAATAGAAAAGAACTTGGCTGTTAATGCTGGAGACAACCATCCCGATTTTGGGCTCAGTTCAAGCTTGAGGGCTTTTGAAAGATGAAGATGAATTAACTTCCACAATGAAACAAAGTAATTAGCCTTTAACCCTGAATATTGGAGCACATATAATCATGTGAAAAAAAGAAAGACGAGATTTATCTGGCAAGTTAAAGTCTTCATACATTTCAGGGATGGAAAATAATAATTTGTTAAACTGCAAAGCTACTCTTACCTACTATGACTAGGTTGCTATAGTTCTCCAGCATTACATCCCGGTACAAATTCCTCTGAGCAGGTTTCATTTGCTCCCATTCCTCCTGAGTGAGGTCCACAGCCACATCCTTAAACGTCACTGTTTCCTGTAAAAACACAACCCTAATTAATTTGAGGTCATCAAAAGTAAGGGGTCAGAATTCATTTAAAACTATATACCAGGTCTTCATATTTACTTAATTTCATATTATACTATATGGGATAACAAACCATAGTACAAATATCCTTGAAGAGTATGTTAATTATTAAGTCAGCAAACTTACTAATTTCATCTATTATGCAGGAAGCTGGAGACTAATTTTTACTGGGCTGTGACAGAAATGAAAGTGTTGGACAGGACTTACAGGTAACTGACTCAGAACCAGACTAGGTGGTTGTATGATCTAAGGAGAAAGGCTATATGGCAGAGTAGAAAGGTAAGAGAATAAAGCAGGAGGAAGGAGAAGAGGCATGGAAATTTGAACACATAGCATTTGATATTCCTGTAAGATGTCTAGATGGAAATGATCACTATGCAGTTAGACATAAGAAGAAAAAAGATGAGAATTTGTTATTAATCAACCTAAAATTGGGAGTTGAATCCATGGATAAAGGATGTGAATGGCTGTTGAGACTATACGTGGTAGGTAATAGGGCCAAGGACAGAATCAACAGTTAAACATCAAAGAAAGGGACTCAGGTTTTTGTCTTTTGTTGTATTTATAACCAAAGGATGAGAATTAAATCTATGAGGATGATGCAATAGAAATCTAGAAACAAATGATAATTCCTGGAAAAGAATATGATTTGGTCTAAAGTATCTTGTTCTTCTTCCCCATTTAAAAAATTCAACCTCCAAATAAAGAAACAAAAAATGTATTTTCTCTGCAAAGTCTCTAAGAAAAGCATCCACATAATCCACACTTAGGGGAATTTATTCAAGAAATAGCACAAATGGGATGAAACAAAATGGGAAATACAAATGAAAATCACCAAAGGCTGAATTTCAAGTAATGTTTCTGAGAAACTATATCTATGATATTGAGATGATTATTACCATTAATATTATCACCACTATCATCTACTGAATACTCGTTATGTATTAGGCAATGTTGTGATTTTTTTATATGTTAACTTAAAAAATTCCCCTTATAAGGCTATAATGTAGCTACTATTATTATCTATTTAAAAGGCAAGAATATCTTGATACATTTAATAAGTTAGACAAACTCTGCTAAAAAAAAAAAACTTTTTTAAATTGCAATGTTTCTGGAAATGGTACTAAAGGCACACAGCAAATTAAGAAGCATTTAATTAAGAAAATCTACTAAAGCTTGGTAAAAATGATGGCAGTCTGTGACATCTGACTCACAATCTGCAGGTTTAAACACTTTTCACCAAATTATGTTTGCTTTACTGAGGATCAGGTCCATGGAATACCTTATGTTGCTATCCTGGAAGTGAAACTCCTCTTATAACTATTTAAAACTTAGCATTCTATTTTTATGTTTGGATAAGTGTATTATTTTTCTTAATTTAGGTTTGACAAGTGTAAAGAGACAAGGAAATTAATTTATTTGCAACAGAGTATGACAAAGTTCAAGCTTAAGGGTGTTCTCAGAAACAATAAAGATTTTAGGAGCAAGCAATTAAGAGAAGGCAGTAGCTTCATTCATGCATTCATTCACTCATTTTTAGAGTCAGGGTCTCATTCTGCTCTCCAGGCTGGAGTACCATGGCATGATTATAGCTCACTGCAGCCTCAAACTCCTGGGTTCAAGTGATCTTCCTGCCTCAGCCTTCCAGGTAGCTGACACCATGCCTGGCTGATTTTTATTTTATTCTTTTAGAGACAGGGTGTTGCTATGTTGTTCAGGTTAGTCTTTAACTACTGATTTCAAGTGATTCTTCCACCTCAGCCTCCCAAGTAGCTGGGATGATAAATGTAACCCACTGTACCAAGCTTTCCTTTTACTTAAAAGCAACAAGATAAAAGAATAGGTCAGTTCACCAGACAGAACCAGGGAGAAAGACAATAAAGTAGAGCCCTCCTGGGGTTGGATGAACCCTCAAAGAATAGGATCAAACTGTGTAGTGACTTAGGCTCTGTGCACTGCCAAAATTGATACGACAGTCAGCTGGCAATGAGTAAAGGTAAGATCTGGTTGTATTACCAAACAAGGCAGACAGTTTAAAAGATAGATCAAGGAAAGGAACAATCAAAGAGAGTCCTGATTAAACCACTGTCATCCTAGAATGACTTTTTTTTTTTTTTTTTGAGTTGGAGTCTCACTTCGTCACCCAGGCTGGAGTGCAGTGGTACACTCACGGCCACCCCAGCGTCAACCTGCTGGACTCCAGCAATCCTTCTGCTTCAGCCTTCCAAGTAGCCGGAACTACAGGTGGGTGCTACCACGCCCGGCTAATTTTTAAATTTTTATTGTAGAGATGAGGGCTCACCATATTGCCAGGCTGGTCTCGAATGTGGGCTCGGGCAATCCTCTTGCCTCGGCTTCCCAAAGTGCTGGGATTACAGGCTTAAGTCACCACACCCAGCCCCTAGAGTGACTTTCTGCATGCCCCAGAGCTATGTCCTCTGAGGCATAACACCAAAGACTTCACATGACAGGGAATAGACCTTACTAAAATAATGTAGGCGAGTCACTAAACAGATAAACAACAAAAATAAGAAAAAGGGGGAAGGAAATCAGTATCCAGAGTTGCTACAATAGATAATCTAAATGTTCAGTTTTCAAAAAAAATGTACCATGCAGGCAAAAAGACAGGAAAGGGAAAGTCAAACAATGGGGGAAAAAAGCAGACACCAGAAACTGCCTGTGAGAGGGCCCAGAGGTTAGGTTTAACACACCAAAATTTCAAAGCAGCCATTATAGATAGAGAACTCAAGGAAATCATGATTAAAGAAAGGAAGACATGATAACAATCATATCAGAGAATATCAATAAAAAGACAGAAGTTACTTTAAAAAAAGCCTAATTGAAAATATAAAATTGAAAAGTACAGTAACTGAAGTGAAAAATGTACCACATAGGCTTGGTAGTAGATCTTAATTTACAGAAGAATCGGCAAACTTAAAGATAGATCGATAGGGGTCAATTGATAGGCATTTAAAGAACAAAGACAAAAAATGAGGAAAAAGAAAAAGAACCTCAGAAAAATGTGGGACAGCATTAAGTGCACCAATACATAAATGATGGGAGTATCAGAAGAGAAAGGTGCAGAAAAATATTCAAAGAAATAATGGCTGAATGTTTCCCAAATTTGATAAGAAGCATTAATCCATACGTCTAAGAAGCTCAATGAACTCCAGGTATAATAAATGTAAGAGACCCACACCAGCTATATCATAATAAAAATGCTGAAAGCCAGAGATAAAATTTTAAAATCGAAATTGGAATAGATTAAGCAAATGACACTGGATCCACTAGAACATGAATCAACATAAATATATGGTAAATAAGAAGGTTAATATGACAAATGTTTTCTATATTTGCTTCCTTTCTCTACTCAGCATTTTTTTTTTTTTTTTTGAGTTGGAGTCTCACTCTGTCGCCCAGACTGGAGTGCAGTGGCCGCTCCCGGCCACCGCAGCCTCGACCTGCTGGGCACTGGCGATCCTTCCGCCTCAGCCTTCCAAGTAGCCGGAATTACAGGCATGCGCTACTACGCTCAGCTGATTTTTTGATTTATTGTAGAGATGAGGTCTCACTGCCCAGGCGGGTCTCCAACCCATGGGCTCAGGCAATCCACTCACCTCAGCTTCCCAAAGGTGTGGGATTACAGGCTGAGCCACCGAGCCCGGCTTCTACTCAGCTTTTTAAATAGATTGAACACTATATGCAGTAATAATTATAATGGGTTAAGTTTGCAACACATAAAACAATAATAGCATAAAACAGAGGAAGAGAGAATAGAGCTACACAAGAGTAACATTTCCATATTTTACTGCAATTTAGTATAAACCTGAAGTAAATTCTGATAAACTAAGATGTATAATATACGATAAGCCCTAGAGCAACCACTAAGAAAACATAGTGAAAAATCATTAAAGAAATTAAAATTTTATACTAGAAAATATTCGTGTAAAGAAAACAGTAAAAGAGAAACAAAAAGACATGAGATACATGTAAAACAAAAAGGAAAATAGCAGACATAAACCCAATAACTTGAATGTTAACATTAAATGTAAATAGATTAAACAAGCTAAAATAAAAGGCAGAGACTGTCAGACTGGACAGAAAAACAAGATTCGTCTATATGCTGTTTACAAGATATACCTGGCACTTTGGGAAGCCAAGGCGGGAGAACTGCTTGAGCTCAGGAGTTTGAGACCAGTCTGGGCAACATAATGAGACCTCTGGCCTTTACAGAAAAAAAATAAATAAATAAAAATTAGCCAGGCATGGTGGTGTATGCCTGTAGTTCCATATACTTGGGAGGCTGAGGCAGGAGGATCTCCTGAGGCCAAAATGTCAAGGATGCATAAGTCGTGATCATGCTACCGCACTCCAACCTGGGCAAAAAGAGTGAGACCTTGATTCAAAAAAAAAAAAAAAAAAAAAAAAAGAAAAGAAAAGAAAGGAAAAAGAAAAAAAAGAAAGTTTTCAAAACCAATGCACTAACTTTCCACTATGCCAGAAGATAGCTGGGTGTGGTGGCTCAAGCCTGTAATCCCAGCACTTTGGGAGGTCGAGGCAAGAAGGATTGCCTGAGCCTACAAGTTCAAGACCAGCCTGTGCAACATGGTGAGACCTCATCTTTACAATTAAAAAAAAAAAAAAAAAATTAGCCAGGCATGGTAAGTGTGTGCCTGTAGTTCTAGCTACTTGGAAGGCTGAGGCGGATCACTGGAGACCAGCAGGTGGATGGTGGAGTGGTTGTGAGGGTGCTACTGCACTCCTGCCTGCATGAGAGTGAGAATCCAACTCAAAAAAAAAGGAAAAAAAAGAGAAAGATACCAGAAGATGAGCAAACTAAACCAAAAGTAGCCAAAAGGAAATAAAGAATGAATATTAGAATGGAAATCAAAGAACTCTAGAATATAAAAATATTAGAATCAATGAAACAAAAAATTTGTTTTGAAAAG